ACCCACACTCCACTCATACCCTCACCCACCCTACCCACACTCCACTCATACCCTCACCTACCCCACCCACACACCCACACACCCACACATCCACACACCCACACTCCACTCATACCCTCACCCATTCCAACCACACACCCACACCCATACCCACACCCGATCAATAGAAGTAAGTGTTTTAGACTATTGAAAAAAGAAGAAAACCATAGATACGTATTTATGTATGAATTATTTCTAGACATTGAATGATATCATAAACAAATTATCGTCTGTTAACAATGAATATACACTAAAAAAAAAATCTTTTATCATATATTGAACGGATTGAATTATTTTACAAAAAAGAAAAATTTGAAGGTAAAATATATTATTTTTTAATTATTAAATAATGAAATTACTTCGATAAAAAATTATTTAATCAATTGGTTTTTTTTTCTATTATAGATGTTGTTAAAGACGTTAACTGTATGAAAAAACTTAATTACAATATATATAGGGATAAAAAAAAACCCTATTAATCTATCAGTAAGAGAATTATATTTTAAGTTAATCTCATTTTATTTTAGTTTTTAAGCAAATCTCAAAAGGCTATAAATGATTACAATAGGTTACAAGGTTTAGAAAAATTTGAACGTTATAAGTAACTAAAATTAATAGGAATATAGATTATGTTGCATTTTGTTTATAATCATATATATAAGACGTTCAAATATTTGATTGATTGTAGGATAATATTCTCATATAATTCATTATGTATATAAATATAAAAGATAAAAATAAATTTGGTGACATGAGAGTTAAAGTATTGTATTTGTGAAGAAGTACCATTCGATGAATATTATTTTTATCTCTTATCTGGGTATTAGATGGACAAATGCTGTCCTTTTTGAATGAACTCATTGTAGTCGATCAAGAAATCGAAGATTTTAAAGAAAATATTATAAATAGTTCTTAGAAAACAGTAAATATAATATTAAAAGGAAAAAATATATTTTTTTTATTTTAGAAAAATCAAAGAATAAATAAAAACAACAAGTGATTTCGTTTTTATATTTTAAAATAAATTGTTTCGTTTTGTTCTAAAAATTTTTTTTTGTTATTAATCAAGAGTAAATTCAGGACGAACAGGAAAAGATAAGTATAAAATTTCAATAAAGCTTTATTTATTTATCTTCTGTTTTTCTAAAATTTTCTTAGATATTTTTTTGGATTGTGAAAAATTTTTTTTTTTAGAAAAATGTCGAGAGTTGAGAACACTTAGAATAATAAAAGGAAATCAATTTAGAGGAATATTTGTACCAAATCTTAAAAGAAGAAATTTGTGTTTTTTTATCTCAATATTCTTATTTGAAATAAATAAAAAAAAGAAAATTTTTGAATTTATCTGATTTATATCGAAAAAAAAATTAATATAAAAAAATGTTTGTTTATTATAACTAAAGGATTTTGATAGTAAATTTCAACTATATATTATTGAGCCTTGTGATTAATTATATCAAGATCTGCTACCATAATCACTTGTTTCAATTATATCTGTTGCATTAGTTTTACATTAAACTGATGCAGAAAAAATTCAACTTGAATTTTCTTGCTTGTTTTCTTTTTTTTATTGTTTGGTTAAGTTATCTTGTAAATCTAATCGATACAATCATGCTTTTGATATATGTTAATTGATGGATGTTATAGCACTTCAGTTAGCTATTAAGAGAGTCCACCAGATTCTCACCCTGAACAAGACTATTACTCCTCTCGAAAATTTTAAAATTCGATTTTCTGTTATCATTCGATAGACCATGATCTGAAAATTTTATGGTAAATATATGAACCTTTCTGATTGAGTCTGTGAAGAGTTATGACCAAAACAGTGACAGGGTCTATTATAAGACCCAGTTTTTTCGCAAAAATGTGATGGTCCCGGTAGGTACTCGTATTTTTGACTTTTCTCAACGATAGCTCATCTGTTTGAGGTGCAGCTTTTTTAAATGATAGAGAAAAGAAATCTCAACAAAACTACTTGTAAGAAGTAATTTTGTCGCCCGTTCCAAGCTGCCCAAAATTTTACACTGGAAAAATCGCATTTTCCACATAGATGACTTTTAGTAGTATTTCGGCTCAAAGTGTACCAAAATGCAATGACTCCACAAATCTGATTTCATATTCAGAAAGCCCATCACAAACTGTATCCATCCATATAAAAACATCCGGAAAAAAATCTGAGCCTCAAGGATCTCAAGAAAGTGCAGTAGAATCCTAAAATTCATATTTTGTGATTATTTTATGGTAATCGATCAGGTATGTCATCCATAAGAAAATTATTTAGTTTGGATTGAAATTTTAATTCAAGGTTTCAAAAGAAGACTCATCTGATGGCCTCTCAAAATCCAAATTGTCAGCCCTCTATGATGTGTCTGTGAAATACAAGAGAGCTGACATCGTCATTGCCGTTCAATCTATGACCTTGAAGAATCTGACTTTTTCAGTCTTCCATATATGTTGACTTAATTTAAGATCTGTTATATCAAAATTAATATACTGTTTTGTAAATCTTATCAAGTGCTACAAGCTGCACTAATTTACTTTTGAATTTGATTGAGCAAAGCATGAGAACATCGTGCTTTACGAGTACAGTACTATAGGCAATACAATACCAGAAAATTCGATTATGATTATTTCTACGAAATATCATGGAAGAGACGCGATAATTTCACCATTCATCCAGTTTTTCATGTTCTTTCTATTTGTGATCTGTGAAACTGAAAATCCTATGACAAGGAGAAGAAAAATTTTCTACAGATGCGCATCGGAAACCTTCAAATTCGAATGAGAACATTATTTTATTTGAATCATGAGAACTTGTAGTTCCGAGAAAATTCTCGTTTTCATTGAATTTCTATTCTACGATAATACCTTTGTATTCATCAGCAACATCTTTAGGACAGCACTTTCAGTTATGGCTACTAACTGAAAAGAGAGAACTGTGCGTTTCTTCTTGTCACAGATAAACAACAGACGATAGGCTTTTTTAAAACTTCATGCAAATTCTTCATCTTTGAATGTTTCTTACGTTTTCCATGATTTGTTTGCAATTTTGAGTTTTCATTGCGTATACAGTATCTTGGGAATTTTACAAACTCCTCTACAATACTCTTCGATATATCTTTCAAAAACTCTCAAGACTACAATCAAGTTTTGATAAGATAATTGTTTGAATAGTCAATAGAAGAAGAGAAGAGCATCCGAAAAGTTAGGCACAAAATCTTTGTTACTGAGCGTTGTTTCGTTGATCATTTCCAACGAAGCAATTTTCGGTTTTTGTCAATGAATTACCATTCTCGAATTAAAATACTGAGAAACGGAAAATGCCTCCAGATGTTTGGAACTTAGTAGTCGTACAATTATTTCTATTATTTTCACTCAGACTATGTCATTTTTTAATAAAAGAGTTAATTTTATCAAAAGGATTAGCAGGAATAGCTCAGTAAAAGAGAGATCGTAGCAGGATATTTCGAAATCTTTGCGTTTTCTGTAGTTGTGTACTGGAAAGAACATCTAAAAAAGTACAGTTATAGTGTTGAAGTGAATGATGCTAGATTTTGTTGCACATTGATCAGATACTCATGTATGTACAAGAGTTTGAAAGAGTTGCCGTTTAGCAGGAACAAGATCAACTCACTTGGTCGTAACTCAGAGAAGGTATATATTTTGTTTTTCACAATTGATTGCTCAGACACACCATTCTTGTCATCATCTCGTTATATTATTCGGTCAGTTTCTCCATTCTGACACGATAGCCCACGATACTATGTTCAGTAATGGTTAGCATTACTCTACACCACACCATATAAATATTTCCTTTTCACTCCATAACCATGCAATAGTTTAAGCCTTTATTCTGCAGAGGGTTGGACAACTTTTCGATCAGTGACAAAAATGAATATTTTAATCGGAATCGAATCGTTCTGATCAAAAATCCCCTGTCTTAAAAGAATAACTTAGACGAACGAAACAACACATGAAAAATGAAAATCCATAGAAGAAATATAACTTTTCATAGAAAAAATGAGTAATAAAAAAATGTTTAAATCATGTGTCTATGAGAAAACTTCAGTTAAAGTTTACTTATGTATATACATATTCAGCGGAATAATAAAACTCCATAGGAGAAATGAGACTTTTCGTAGGACAAATGAGTAGGAATATTGTTTCAACCATTTTTCTACGAGAAAAATACTTCAGTTAAAGTTTACTTATATATAAACATTCTCGGCGGAAAAAATGAAAATCCATAGGAAAAGTGTAACCTTTCATGGGAAAGATGAGTAAGAAAAATGTTTGAATCATTTTTCTATGAGAAAAATACTTCAGCTGAAGTTTACTTATATATATACATTCTCAGCAGAAAAATGAAAATCCATAGAAAAAATGTAACTTTTCATAGGAAAAATAAGTGGGAAAAATGTCAAGATCATTTTTCCGATGAGAAAAATGCTTGAGTTTATTTTTACTTATTCTAATGCTTCATGAGATGAAAAAGTAAAATCCATGGTAAATGACTGATTCTCCTTAGTAAAAGGGATCCGTAAAAATGAAGTAATGATTGAAGTCAAAAGAAAGGCTGTTCGCTTTATCGTTGTATCGTGCATTTGATAAAATGAAGGCTTAGCATTAAGGCATTTTTCTATCGGAAGAGGAAAAAAGAAAGTTTCTGATTTTAGTTGTAACTGAGAGGGAAGAGATTGCGTCAAAGGAGATGGAGAAAGAATTTTGAAACAAGAATATATTGGTGCGCACGTGGAAGTTAATCTCGTGTTTATTTCTCTCTCATACTTGTTTGCTACATAAGTTAGTGAATATCTTGTAGCGATTGACGAATCAAAAAAAACGAGTTCAATGAACCAATCAGCTTTCGATCATTTCTTCAATGTTCGCTTCGCGACACAGTAATAGAGGAAGAAAGTAAATGATTTTGTTTCAGATTTCTTTGGAAAAATTAGTGTTTTCCTCTGTATTTCAGTTCGGAAAGAATCATATATATAATTCTATTACAGTACTGTGATGATGAACCAGATTCGTTTTTTTTCTTCAGGATTACTTCAGTTCTCAGATATCATATTTCCGTAAGATCTTCGTTTCTCTCTCTATCCTGTATGAATATATAAACATTAACATTCATATATCTAAAGAGACATTTCTCATCTTTTTCTATCGTTTTTCGCATTAGCGAAAAGCACTTTACACTACTAAAGCATTTTTCCGCTGAAATTTCATTTTTCTGATGAGAATGCAGTGGCGGATCCAGTGTTCGGCGAACTACACTGGAAAAAAATTTGGTACGATACCTACCAAAAAGAGTATCGTGAATGAAAAAAAGGTTTCGCACATAGTACGGAACCTAAAAAGGTTTCGAATTCGTTTCAATTCTCTGAACCATTTTAGGTTCGGTACAGATCACTACGAAAAACTTGAAACAGTGTCCTAAGTCAATGACAATCAATTTTAGTCACCCAAAGTTTTGTACGAAACCTTTTGAAGGTTTCGTATTGCCCTCCAAAATGGTTCGGTACTCTGCAAAAGAATTTGTATGATTACGGAACCATTTAGGAAGACAATACGAAACCTTCAAAAGGTTTTGTACAAAACTTTGGGTGACTAAAATTGATTGTCATTGACTCAGGACACTTTTTCAAATTTTTTCGTAGTGGTCTGTACCGAACCTAAAATGGTTCAGAGAATTGAAACGAATTCAAAATCTTTTTAGGTTCCGTACTATATGCGAAACCTTTTTTCGTTTGCGATACTCTTTTTGGTTTGGTATCATACCAATTTGTTTTCAGTGTAGCGACCGCCGCTCCCTCGCGGATTTTTTTTCCATTTTTCTCCAGCAGAAATGCAGAAAAAAAGAGTTGTACTGGCTCGAATAAGCTTCGAAAACCGTTATTTGACTATGATTGCCGCCCCCTCCGGCAAACCGTCGCCTCCTCATTGATTTTCTGAATCCACCTCTGCGAGAATGTATATATATATATGTCAATACGTTGTTCTCTCTCTTACACGCGCTTAATTTTATTTTATATAATCTAACTTTTCAAATGTCTTTAGTGTGTTATACAGATATGTAGAGCAATATAAGAAAGAAGAGAAAAGATAATAACAGCAAAGATGAAAGAGAAAAAATCGACAGAAAAGAGATCCAGAGCAGGATCATGGTGAGTCATTGGTTACATACGTGTAACTTGAAAATATTTTTCTAGTGTCATATAGCATTATTCTGATTGATAAAAACATTCTTTTGCTGTCCTCGTTTATTTTTCCGCCAGATTCATGCATTATTACGCTTGGTTTTCATTTTTCCCAAGGGAACGTATGTATATATGTAAATATTGATAGTTGTAAAACATTTTTCTGCTGTCATACAGCATTATTCTCACTAGTAGGAACCATTTTTCTGCTGTTCTCGTGTATTTCCCGCTGCATTCATGCATTTTTTCGCTGGATTTTAATTTTTTCCAATGGAATGTATATGTATATATGTAAATATGGATAGCTGAAAAACATTTTTCTTCTGTCACATAGCATTATCCTCACGGATAGGAATCATTTTCCAGCTGTCCTCGTGCATTTCTTCGTTGGGTTTTCGTTTTTCCAAAGGGAATCTATGCATATGTGTAAATATTGATAGTTGAAAAGCATTTTTCTGCTGTCATACAGCACTATTCTCACTGATAGCAACCATTTTTCCGCTGCATTCATGCATTTTTCGCTGGATTTTTATTTTTCCAAATGGAAAGTATCTTTATGTATTCATATTTATTCATTCATTCATCTGCAGATCGATGTGCATCATGAATAGGTGTCTTATCCCGGTAGTGCTGTGATATTTCTCTTATTATGGAAAATCGCATTTTTGACCTGAACGAATGAATTCCGCTTAAAATTTTCATTTATCTCATCGATCAGATTGTTGTCCACTGCTGATTCTGCATTGGCAATTGGGACTGTCATTTGTAGATCGATTACAAAAAAAAAAGAAGTATTGCCTTTGAAAAATTGAGAAACATTTTTTGTAATAGACTCTATGAATTATCGATTAGTGGAAAGAGTACTTTGTTTCATTGCTTTGGGATGGAAATATAAACGTTATAAAAACCATATGTTAAAAAGCTTTGAAAAGATGATTTTTTTTAAAGAAAAATGTTCTCTGTCTGCATACGATACGCACGTCAGAAGTATGTTCCATGTTTTATATCAGTGTGCATGTCTACTTGTTAAACGACAGCACTGCTAAATTTTTGGCAAAGGATGAGAAATAAAAGACGATAAGATATTAGACGGATCGGGCCCGCCATTGGAAAAATGGAGGAGAATGACGGGCATAATGAATTTTTGTATGATGCTTTTTTTTCCCCACTGTGTTATTAGAAGAGAACAAAAACAGAACATGAAAAACGTAGAAGATATCCAAGCGCCTTCTTTATGAGTCAACGTTGTTGTTAAAAAGAAATTTTATCTGGGTATTTCTTGTGGGTAAAAATATAATAAACATAGAGTGAAAGAACGGAAGAAAAAGAATTCAAAGGGCGTCATCACCATATAAAAAGCGAGAGAATGCTGTTTTCTGGTAATGGCATCGAGCAGTAGTAGACGTAGTAGTGTTAGTTGTGCAGATAGTGGTGTCAGCTGTAACAGTACTGCTACAACAGTTAATCCACGTTATGAGTGTTACTGGTTGGACAGTTGTCGTGGGCAACATGAATTAGATAATTGCCCAGTACGACTACGTGAATTACGAGGCAAGTTGGGCATCTATTACAGTCCAAATGCAATCTACAAACGTTTTACTCGTGATCAAATGAACGATCTACCCTTAGAATCCAATCCAACTGGATGTACAATGATTCATTTGTTAATTCATAAAAAAGAAAATAATGAAACTTGGCTACTGTTTGTTACTAAATTTGTTAAAGAAAAACAACAAGAAAATGAAGTTAGACCAAGTCGACAGTTATTATTAACATTACCATCCTCAAATCCATGTAAGAAAAATGAACTTCAAAAAGATGTAGCTGAAAGAGCATTGAATAGTATTACACATGAAAGCGAAATAACAACAAACATTCGATCACGTCTCAAACGTTTCTTATTTGTTAATGCTAGTGCCATCTATCCATTATATTTACCCAATGAACATGCGGATCTCTTAACAACTCATTTTTCCCCAAATGAAGAAGTTATTTCTCTTCATTGGTGTCCTCTATCAACTATTTTGAACCAATTGCCTCAATGGGATAATTATTTGAAAAGTCAAGCCGAAGGAAGAGAATTAGCACAAATACGACATCCGAGTCATACTGGAATTAAATTGAATACAGGAAATAATGAACATACAATCTGGTCAGTCACTGCAGCTTGTCTGATGTGTATCAGAAATCACGTGGGATTTGATACATTTCTTCAACCATAATTTATAATCAATCGTTAAAAGATCAAATCTTTAATTTTGTTAAAGAGTTTTTAAATACATTAAAATAAACTACAAAACAATGCTGAAGAGTTCACTCTTATTTGGAACGTGCTGTTTTTTTAACGTTTCGGGCATTTATAGATTTACTGTTCGAAAGTAAAAGATCGTCTATATCATAAAAATTTGCATCATAAACTGCTTAAATTATGAACGAGAATGTTTCCGAGACAGACAAACTATCTTTTTTGAGTCCGATTCAACTAAGAAAGAATATATCCTATGAGAACATTAAAACTTAGTTAAAATCAATAACTACCATACAATTTAAGGATATATAAAAATGAGAGTATCAGAGTGAGGGTTACTGAAGAGAAAACTGTCATTCACATCCTTGCCCAAAAAAAACTATAAGAAAAATATGACAGAGTATCTGGTTTCTATGTGAGGCAAGCACTATCTATTGAATTAAATTGAGTTTTAATGCTGTCATAAGATGTATTCTTTCTTGATTGAGCCTGGCTTAAATTAAGTTGATCGAGCTTCCAATAGGCATTTTTTCGAACTTCAAAAGAATTGCTCTGCGAATTATCATATTCGATGTTGTCATAATTACAATAACACTTTCAATATATTCAGTCAAATGTTTGGCAATCGGTCATACGTCGCTTATTTTTGCATCTTTACAATGATGCATAAGAGATCATTATAAATGATAGTTGAGTTACAAGTCTTCTTTCATTTGCTCATTACAACGAAACTAAATCTATATAAAGCATGCTTTGAGATATATATGTTGTTTAAAGTCTTAACAGCAGCACCATATTATTAAAAAAGTTCAAGAATATATTTGGCTTTTTATTTTATTAGTATAATGAGACGTTAGTGCAAGAGAATATCTAAATAGTTTATTGCTGTAACATAACTATATAACGTTATATTTAAGAAAAAAGACTTCCTAATTCGTATCGTTGAATACTATTTTAGACACAAAAACGTTTTGATTAATAGAAAACTTTCAGAATATTTTCGAAACATTTTCAATATAGCGTGACATGTTGGACGCATCTCGATTTAATAAGGCAACTTTACATACAATATATGCATCCATAATCACACACGCTTTATAAGCTCTTTTATTATTATATTTATTTATACTTTATTCAACATAAACATTTATCTCTATGAGGTGAACATGACATAGATATCCTTATTCATCAGTATACTCCATATTATTTCTATGAATGTTTGATCTTCTCCAACATAAGATAAGCTGGATGCAATACTCAATATTCTATTTACAATCGAGAAACTGATTGTCTTTCTTCCGATTGTTGTTTTAATTATGCATCTTATAGAATGACATATACATAACTGTAGGACATGGCATTGCTAGCGATTAAACTTTGATAATCCTTTTTTATTATTACACTGGTTTCTTTATCTATCACCTTTTTTGTTTTTCTTTAATTACAGGTCTGTAATAATTAATCACATATTTGTATCAAAAAAAAAAAGTTCTATAGTGTTGCTAATTTTTTTATATCGTACTCACTCTTTAACTCAACTCCGATGAAAATTATAAAAATGCTTAACTAGTTACGATACGTGATCACATAAATTTCTAAAAGTGTGCTAGAAGAATCGAACGCAGATAAATACTTATCTATGAGAAGTAAAGAGCTGTGCAGATTGTCAAATGTATTTTAGAGACACAAATAAAAATATAGTTACTATCCTCTTATCTCATCACTGCTTATATTCTACTGGCCTTCTTATTTCTGTAAAAATAAGCACTCAAAAATAAATGTAAGCGACAGTGACATTTTTCACAGAAGTTCTTATAATAAACGATTTTTTGAATACTTGTTTTTTGTGTCTTTCAAATGGTCTCTTTCGACTGTGATGAGAAGATCAAAATATTTAACATTTCTACAAGTGACATGCTTTATTATTCGTTCAATGCTTAACTATTATTTGATTTTCAGAGTATACTTATATGTTTTTCTATACAAAATCGCCAGTATTTAATTTTTATTGTTAAATAATAAAAAAATTCCGTGGTTTCTATGCATCATCAAAATTCGGATACTTCAGATTCGTTTTACTATAATAGAATATTTCCAAGATTCGACATAGGCTACTAGAAATCTGAATAGTAGTAATTTTTTTGTTACTCTGTTGCTTTAATGTTCAATGACTAGTATTGCATAACATTTTGATGTATTTTTCCTACATATTCTCATTAATTAAAGAGATTATGAATTCCAGACAAATTCTCGAACAATATACTGTTTCAATTTTCCATGTTATAATATTTGGTTGCTACGCAATCATTAGAATATTTATAAGTTCTTACATCATTTGAGAAATAACCTGTTTTATACTAGAATAATCAATGAATGGTGGTACTAGACATATATTAATTACAACTTAGCCAACTGAGTATCAGCATAGTTTGTGAAGTACGGTTCCTTTAACTTTCTTACGTATTGAATAACTCACGAATGCAGAAAAGCATCAAGACGTAACGACCCAATTTTGTCTATTGACGTCTAATATGTTATTAATTTTGCTTGCAAGTATAAAGAAAGTGAAATAAAAACGCAAAATAAATAAAATGACTGTGTTCGAGTGAGTATAAAGTCTTCTTCATCATATTTCACCTATTAATATTATTTCTCTGAATTGTCATTATATTTCTATATGCTTATGACCGACATTAACCACAATATATATGATAACATGGGCTACCCTTGTTCACTCACCCTTGCCTTTCTATGCAAGTTTCAATAGTGGAGGTTCATTTTCAATGGATATTCTCGAATCATAAGCTAGTTAACTCTCATATGTTATATGAATAATCTAAAAACATTTTAGAGTATTTAGTGCAATTTTTAGGCGATAATAATATCCGTCGACTGAGTTATGAATGTTTTTTTTTTGGAAGAATGCCTCGAACTTCAACAACGACCTCTGATTGTAAAATAGTTCTATTTTAGTAATTATTAAGAGTTAATACTTAAAATTCGTATCGTAGATAGAGGAGAATTAGAATAAGATTTTGCTAAAACGAAAGAGTTTCCATCTCTCTCAAGCCAGTAATTATAACCATGTCATGGCAAATGAAGTGAAACGTTTATATCTCACAAATCATTCAGAAAAAGAGGCATAAACTTCTAAGATGATCAGCATTTAGTAATAATAATGATCATACAAATTTAGGAGTTCCTTACTATCATAGTCAAGCAGTAGTACTTAATATGTTAAGTGAGCCTATTAGAGCGCGCCAAATCCTAGTTCCACCATAAATTTTTTTCTGAAAAGAAAAAACGCCAATAGCTTCTATGTAGAATAACCTTTTGGGTTAATTTTTAAATTGCGAGCTAAACTAATAACATCTTAATCAGTAGCAGTCGTTTCAAGGATATCTACTTATCATAGTTGTTTATTCTGCTTGTTTCCTTATTCGATTATTCAGGTCAACTTATATAAAGGCTTTATAAAAACAAATCAGTTTCGATATGAGCAATGATCTGAAACATTAAAAAAAATAACATCATTCGATTCATCGGATAAAAATCAATATTTCACTAAATTTTTGAAAATTCTATGATGTAGTCTTCATCATTTTTTTTTTCGTATTGCATTCGAATGATATGTCATATATAAAAATGACAACCTGATTGTCTAGACTAATTAGGTTAAGCTGTTCATTCATAATGCTTTGTTTTTTGAGCCTAATAAAGTCATGAAACTCAGTTCAATTTGATACGAATCATCATGCTCATGTTTTCTCTTCCTCTTATTAAAAGCTGTAAGTCATCAGGAGATATCGGTCTCGACTTATTAGATTGCTAACCGAGTATTCAGAAGTATGGTGTCGGCATAAAAAATTTTTAAAATAATAAATACACGAGATATTTTCATTACTACAAGTAACTTTCCACTTTGTTCCAAACTCCATTGCTAGCAACTTTGTCAGTTTTATTAACATCTATTAAAATCGACCATGCTTTTTCGAATAAACTTTACTAACATGATACATAGTGAAAAAGTAGCAAAATAACTTTGCTTATTTTACATAAAACAAGTGAGACTTATCAAGTAATAATACACCGCAAGGGTAAATGAATATCAAAATTACCAAGAAAAATCAGATATAAACTTTTTTTAAATACCATTTTTTATTTTCATCTTGTCTTAAGTCATATCTTTTCAATATGCAATATCTAGCGTCATAAGCCGTCATAGTTGCATGACTACGTTGTGTCTATTAGTCCTGGATCACGCGTTCGATAGCAATGCTGACGACGTTGTGACATACACCTGTTCTTGTACCTAGTATGTGGGGGAGCTTAAACACTTCAGTTCAAGCACTCTGCACCAGACCGATCTTCTGTTCAGAGCTACAGCTACTCATAGTTGTAGATAAGATATCGGGTTATTGAATCTGTCGTTTGGTAACACTCCATACCACAGGGTAGCTGGAAAGCAAGAGTGCTCTTCTTGCCTTCTTCATGACGTTGTAACATTCATGTCACTTTCCACCATAATAATAAAACATCTTTAATATATGGTTTTTTTTTAATTAAATGATAAAAAAAGAGAACAATTTAGACTTGTCTAATCATCTGTTAGTTTTTTGTATATGATCCTATTTGTGATAAGAACAAAAATGAACATCTTATGTTTCTGTAAAATCAGTCTACATTTTTTTTTCTGTGACATGAATGAAATACAAAATTAGATGATCTTTTTATAGACACATTTTTGCGTCATTTGTGATATTAAGATGTATTCGTGCATTAAATAAAATTGTAAATGCTCATTAAAAAAGTCAAACGCAATTTCTCCGATGCAGTTTTATTGATATAACAAAGTTAAATCATAAAAGCATACTACTATACTTGTTCTGTTTAGATAAATTGCACCAGATAAATGTTGTATAAATAGTACTATATTAAAAATTACATGATTCATTGGTACTTAACGTTTCAATTGTGTAACTAATTCAGAAATAAAACTTTTCAAGGAATCATTTGAATTATAAACAATATTATCCGATTATAGAATGTTGAACGATACACGTAAAAATTTAAATTTGTAAAAAGAAAAAAACAAATAAGTTTCATAAAATTCTCTTCAATTGTGTGTGTATACATAGATGACGAATAGATTTATCTTAAATTTCTTTTTTTCTTGTAGATTCAAATACGTATATCGAGAGATGTAAGCCGATGTTTAAATTGGTGGTGATGGTTGACAGTTTTCGAAAATTGTTAAAAACTTTTCTTAATTCTGAGAAGTTTTCAAATAGAAAAGAAAGGAAAAACGATAGAAACCATAAGAATAAAAACATTCAGGCAAAAAAAACATCTCAAATCATGTTCCTTCGCATGAATAATTTGCAAGAATTATTTGTGACAATGGCTGAAACAATTTAGCTAATTGACTTATGTCTCTATGTTTATCTTTGTCTCGTTTGTCCTTTCATAATTTAGCTTTTTTTTTTCTATTGAGCTACCTTTTTTTTTATTGAGTTCATTTAACATAAGTGAGTATTTGCTGTTTTTATATAAATGTTATCTAGAAGATATAAAGTCTTCAATGACTTGTGTATTATATGGACATATAGATTATCGAAATTTTAAGCTATGTTGAAGTTTTGATGATTTTCTTCTTTAATCAGCTTTAAAGAGCTTGATTTATGTTTCGATGTTTAATAATAATTTCTAAAGAAGTAAGTATTATTTTCGAGAAGATCTTGAATAGACAGTCTAATCAGATTGAAAGCAAAAGTATGTAAACAAAAGACAGTAGATTAAATATAGTTTTCTAAAATGATCAAAAACAACTTTATTCTGAGTTTATTTTCAAGACTATCTGAATATGCCAACATTAACATAAATATTTCATATCTATGAGTGATAGAACAAATATTAAAAGACTTTAAAGTTCATTCTAGTTTGCTTTTTCTTTTTTTTCACTTCTCTTTCTCAATAGCCTACATCATTATCTTCATATAATATTGTCCTATCTAATACACATCTAAGATGTGCATAAGCTAGGTTGCAAATATTTAAAAAAAAACAGAAACATTTAATCTTTATGCTAATGCTCTTCATACATCAAATAACCACTTACAAAGAAAAAAACCTATGATGTGGAATGAGCTCGTTGTGTGAAGATAAAATAGTATTTCCATTTTTTTGCTTCTTTTATCTTCATATAATATCTAATTTTGAGTATATAGCAAGCGTGCTGACACGCATGTATTTTTAATTGTGTATTGAAGCGTATAGTTTCGTGTGGAAAAAACAATTAAAACTAATGTCCATTTTTAAAAAAAAGGCATACGTGAATTCTTTTAATAACTTTTGATGAAAACATGATAGAGACTTGCGATTATCACCTTCGGAAAGAGAAGATGGAGACACATCAAATCATATACGATAGATTTTGTTGATCTAGTTTTTTTATGCTTTTCAATCGACCTTTTTGAGGAAAAAGTGTCCTCTGAGGTGATTACAGTAAACTTTCAATTATTAAGTGAGTATCCGAACCATCAATGAAAGATCTACAAAACTACGTAAGTCTCAAGTTTTTAGGTTTAATCATCCAGATTTCATAGGTATTCTAGTAAAAACTCTCAGTCGACTTCTCAAGCAATTACTGTGAAAAAAAATCATTTTCTCGCTTGTTTCTTATTTTATAAGAAACCATTTTTCGACATTTTTTTTTAGAAAACTGATTAAAAAGAATCTTCAGAAAACATTTTACGGGAATCTATAATATATGATTTTATGCATTTTCATCTCCTCTTTCATCCAGTAACAACTGAAGTAATCTATCTTATTTCTATCAAAAGTTATTCAAAAAATATCCATCCGCCTTTCTTTTTTGAAATGAGTATTAGTTGTCATTTTGTTTTTCCTTTCCATTTAATATTAATTACTGATATGCTACTTAATAAAGAATTATTTTTCTGTGTTATCCAGTCACACTTAATTGATATAATAATTTTCGATTTTCTTTAAAACTAAGCTCTTCATTAATTAAATTCAGTAAAGAAATGAAAAATAATTTAATGAAGTTTCTATTTTACGACTTAAGATTAAAAGACTGTATGTATGCATGTGTGTTGTAATAATAGATGATGAAAAGAAATATGGCATGAGGAGAGAAAAAAGAAATTTCTTGTCAAAGATGTATCTTATTATATTTTTCTATAAGATTGTATTCATGTTGTTGACTACACATTTTTATCACACACTTGACTCCTTTGGCCATTGTGTTTCTTTCTCTCAAATGTTTCTCTCTGTTTTTTTTTATTTCCATCGACAACTTTAGCATGAATGCATCTCAGTAGGAAAGGGAAAATCAAACTGTTTTCTTTTATTCAAAAAATGAAGGATGAGCATAGATTAAAAAGAAGCAATTCAATACCTATCGATTCATTGTTCATACTTGTAAATTATTTTTCTTTTCCGTTTCCTCATATTTCCTTTTGTTGTATTCACATTAATAATCTATAATCTTTAGTTTTGTTTTTCTTTGAGAGTTATCTTTACTGAATTTAGTTTGTTTTTTATTATTATTATCATTCTTATTATTTTAGTAAATGACTACATAAACATAAATAAAATAGACTAGCAAAATGTATGGTCTACTATTACAATCAGCTGTTGAAATTATTCGAGATAAATATGGACAAGAAACGTGGGAACAAATAAAAACAACACTTAATATTGATGTTAATTCATTTTCAGCTTTTCAACAATATGGTGAAACATTATTTATACGAATTGTGCAACTTTTAAGTCAAATGAAGAGTATGTATATTTGTTTTTCTTAATAGATCACGTTAGTAGAAAAGAATAAGCTAATAAGAACAACAAGCCTGAATTTTTTGTATTCCTTGATTGATGCAAGGCCGGATTTAGATTGATGAGACAAATAATAGATCATGTTAGTTTAAAATATTTTTGATAATTGATTGTATTTATTTTGATGAGCAGATCAAACCAGATGATAGGGCAAGATTATTCATAAATATTATTATCTATTAATTAATTTAAAAATCTTTTATGAAAAAAACAATTTCCAATTTTAATTTTGAAATAGAGAGATAAAAATGTGTATCATTACAATATATAGATCTATTAAATATCTATATAACTCTGTTGAATTAAATCAGAATATTTTTATTTCTAATTTATTTTTCATTCTAAATAAAGGAAAATTCTATGTCATACATAATGCTGATTGAAAAGATGTCATTCTAGGGATGTGAAATTTCAGTTTACTAACCACTGACGCAATATAATTAGGGTACACTGACTACACAGATATACTGAAGCACTGGAACACACCGCTACAACAAAGACATGCTATCATAAAGTTGATGTCTCAATGTTGCAGCGAACGTAGATGTCAATAAAAAACCGACCAGTTTCTATAGAAAATACACAAAATAAATTTTTAAATTAATGATAATATGATTCTTCTAACTAAAGAAATGTGATCTTTTAAAAACAAAAATAATCATTTATTTAGATGAACCGTTGAGTGATGTTATGGATCTATTTGGTATTGAATTTGTTTCATATATATCTACTTATGGTTATGATCGAATATTAAGAATTCTGTATGTATAATTTATTTTTTATTTATTTCTATTGATATTTGAGAATTATTTTTTTTTTAGTGGACATAATATGAGAGATTTTTTGAACGGTTTGGATAATTTACATGAATATATGCGTTATAGTTATCCACGAATGCGTCCACCATCATTTTATGTTGAAAAAGAAACTGCTGAAGGTCTTACATTGCATTATCGTAGTCGACGACGAGGCTTTGTTCATTATGTAGTTGGTCAAATAACTGAGGTTTGATATTTGATTATTTTAGAAAAAAATTAATAAAAGTGTAAACAAATATATTGTTCAAAATTTTACTTTATATAAAATTATTTTGTTTAGAAATATTTTTTAACTGAAACTTTGTAAATAATCAAATTTCCTATTTCAATATTTGAGAAATAATTTTTTTTTTTTGAGTTTTATAGTTTTTGATTGAAAGCCAGAAGTGTATTTATTAAAGATATATCAAATATTTCGTTCTTTTAAAAATACAAGTTTCTATTTAGATTGGTCGTCGTTATTACAACACAGATGTTGAAATTGAAATAATTAGTGAACGAGAAGAATTAGATGTAACATATGTTATATTAGAACTTAAATTTGAAAATACAGCATTCGTAAAAGAAACAATAGCAAACAGAGATTCAAATGACCTTGATTTATCACTTGATAGTAATACTTTTTTTGAATTATTTCCATTTCATATGGTTATATCAGAATCATTAAAAATTATATCAGCTGGAGATTCATTAACACAACTTTTTCCAAATATTATTGGTGAATTAGTACGCGACATATTTCATCTTATTCGGTAAAATATCAAAGATATATGTTTTTTTTTCTTTAAAACAAAAAAAAAACATTTTCTTTTTTTGTTTCAGACCTATTATTACATTAAATTGGGCACACATTATTTCGTATTCGAATAATGTATTTGAATTTACAACAATGGAACCATTACGTAAACGAATACAGGAAAATAATACACAAATAAATGATGCAAGCAAACAAAATGATTCTGGTAAAATTAGAATTTTTTTTCATGTTTTTTTTCCTTATAGTTTTTAGTTTATTCATTTTTTTTATTTTAGAAATGCTTTTAACTATGTCGCCACAACGAGATAATCAAGAAATATATTTACGACTTCGTGGTCAAATGTTATATTTACATGAATGGAAAACAATTATTTATTTAGCAACACCAGTGTAAAATTTCTTTTTTTGTTATTAAAGATGATTAAACAAAAAAGAACCATTATAATTATTTTTATTCTAGCCTAGAAAATCTTGATGTTATGATTGATACTGATTTATTTATAAATGATCTTTCAATGCATGATTCAAGTCGAGATTTAGTCTTAGCTGGTACACAACAAAGTGCTGAACTTAATTTAGCACTTGATCAAGTAAATTAAAATTATGATGTCAAAGTATGTTGATTATTATTATTTTTCTTTATTTAGGAAAAACAAAAAAGTAAAGCATTAGAAGAGAGTATGAAAAAATTGGATATAGAAATGAAAAAAACTGATTTACTTTTATATCAAATGATACCAAAGAAAATTGCTGATCGATTACGTAATGGTGAAACAACAGCTAATCTTTGTGAAGTAAAAATATTATATTGACTATTGAAATTTATTTTTTAGCTTCAGTTGTAATTAGGAGTCTTTGACAATGTTTCACTTATATAGTTAATTTGCTTTGCTTGTCCGAATAAACCGTGTCATTCTTTAGACAAGAAAAAAAAGCGTAGTGTAAATTAAATTTTATGCTTTGAGAAATGGTAGCAAAAACTATTCAACAAAATGTGTTCTTCTTCATCTTATACACAAAAAATTTTAATTAATGTGAATTAATTAGAGTATCTATTTTCAGATCTTGACTTGTTTGATATTTCATACAATCAATTCTAGAAAAAAATAAATTTCCGTATTTTATGTATCTGAACTTTTAATATTTCTCTATCTAATTTACTCTGACCTAGTCATAAGATATTGGAAAATCTATAATGAAACTAGTAGACTTTTGAAATATACTACAGTAATACGCATAATCTTCTTAAAAAACATTAGAGATATTTTTTAAGGTCTCTTTCTGTCCTACAAAATAGGATTTTCAAGCTAATACATGGTATTGAGCTGATACATTGTGTACATTTTGAGATTGCCTAGTTATATTTACAGAAAACAAAATTTCAGTCGTATGCGTCATTCTGTGTTAGAGCTATAGCAATTTTAACATTCTTTTTGAAATCATTGGTGTTTCCGACGTCATTCGACTACTTCATATGACAGAGTCAATTTCCTTTTCTTATTTGAACGAAGACACTTAGCACTGGTAAATGTCATAATCATTTTTTATTTTCTCCGTTGCTGTGAATGACTCGATGAACTTACGATATTATGTAAGAAAAAAAACCGTTACATTTTGATAATGAAATGAATTTTCTCCTTTGATTAAGACTTATTTATGAAAAGAAAAAAAGGCTACGAGACTTATTAACCCTAAGGATCAGTTTCAAAAGAAAATGCAATTGATTCTGTTTCCTGAATTGATCGAATGATATCGAAGATATAAAAGATCCTTCAGTGTTTCGGATATGTACAGTACATTGTTACTGCTCAGACAGATCACAAGAAACAGAACTAACATTTTAAAGTATTTTAATATATCCACAAAGTTTCAGTTCAATACCATGTAATCGATTAGAGATTCGATTTTGAAAGAAGCAAAATTTTCTATTTCAAATTTCATTCTAATAGAAGTGATTTTGATATTAAATTATCAATAATGTATAAATTTTTTTCTATCTTTTTATTTCTGTTGAACATTAACATACGTATAAGCGATCTCTATAGGATGTTATTGAATAGTTCTGCAGAATGACCAATAGCAAGAATTCTATTCGTTATTTGTTAGTTACATATTCTATTTTAATAAATCCATGTTTCTTTTTTATTTTATTTTATAGACATTTGAAAGTTGCACAGTATTATTTAGTGATGTTGTTGGTTTTACATCAATATGTGCATCACTTACACCAATGGAAGTTGTTTCTATTCTTAATGAAATGTATACTAAATTTGATAAATGTTTGGAAAATCATAGTTGTTATAAAGTTGAAACAATTGGCGATGCTTATATGTTAGTAAGTGGTTTACCTGAACGTAAGTTATTTCTTCTTCATAAAATAATTATTAATATATTTTTTTTCTCTTGTTCAGGTGCTCGAAATCATGCTTCAGAAATTATTGATATGGCATTTGATATGCTTGATGCAATTATTACTGTATCAAATCCAACGAATAATGAAAAACTTAAAATACGTATTGGTTAGTCATTGAATATATACGCAAAAAAACAAACCAAAACGAAATAGAATTTCTATTCTTTTTTAGGTTGTCATAGTGGTCAAGTTATTGCTGGTATAGCTGGAATTAAAATGCCTCGTTATTGTCTTTTTGGTGATGCAGTATCAAAAGCGAATATAATAGAACAAACTTGTAAAGTATGTATTTGTATAGAGTGCCTATAAAGTAACTAAACAAAGAAAAATTTGAATATTTCTGCCATGTGGCCTGATATTTTTACTACTAATGAAGGAATGTTTATAGTTCATATTTATAAGAGAAACTTTCTCAAATATTGTTTTTACATAGTAAATATGAGCTATGAACACTACTTTATCAATGGTAAAAATATCGACCATATAATGGATATATTCAAAAAGATAGGAGACATATATTCCTGCTCATATATTCATTAGTGATGTAACCAGAAGATTATAAGTGATAGAGCAGGATCCTAAGATCGTATAGGAAATTCATACAATATAATCTTCAAGTTTTTCTTTCAACTGGTGGTAGAGCAACACCTAGCACAGTCTACCATTAGTTACGTCTCTAATATTTGTATTAACTCTTTGAAATAATTAGGTTCCTGGTCTTTTGTTTTAATAATCTCTTTTCTATATTTCTATGTGAAGAAATCTGACAACTATTGCTATACATTATCTAATTATACCTTCGAATAATTTTCTTTCTATGAAGAAAATATTATCTTAAGCGATATTCAACCAACAAATCCTTAAATTAGTTAATTGAGTTGGATTTTTTTTTCTAGATGAAATTATTGAGTTAAAACAAAAAATAAATAATTTTCAAAAAAAAATCTTTTTATTCTAGGCATTACATATTCATATAAGTTATGAAACATATAAATTACTTGATCAAAAATTATATGAATTTGAAGAACGTTTGAAAATGACAATAAATGGTTCTTTACCAATGAATACATATTTTGTATTAAGTAAAAAAGATCGATTAGGAAATAAGCAAATACGTCCATTTCATCATGTTTTCGAAGAAATGAAACAACAAGAAATTGAAGAAACTAAATTAAAACAAATGAAAACTATCAAATCTGTAAAAATCAATGATTCTCTACCAGTTACATCAAAATTAAATGGTATTACTCAATCATTAAGTTCAAGTAATTCTATATCTAGATCAGCAGGTTCTGTTGAATTAACTACATCAACTAAAATAAATAGCAATGATGTTATATCACATCGTGCTGAAAATAATATAACAAATCCTAGAATTAATAATAATCAATCATCAAAAATGCATGAAACTGCTAGTGAACCACGTCAATCAATAACATCCTTTCAAGGACGACTACGTAGTAGAACATGTGAATTACTTTGAGAACATTCTTAAAGAAAAATCAATGCTTATTTTTCCTATTTCTTGTATATAATTTTATTTTGAATAAAAAAAAACAAAAGTTTCTATTTTAAATAAAAAAAACATCATTATTTTTTTTTCTTTCAGATATTTAATTTGTTTATATTAATGTCAAAATAGTTAAAGTAAGTATTGTATAAAATAATATGAGATTAAACATGTTCGAATTTTTTCTTCCATTTTACAAATGAAAATATTCATCATGATATTATCAATGATCAATCCAATGCTAAGTCAAACAAAATGATATATTTCATTTCTAGAATTGCTGTACTTGACTAAAGTTTCATTTTCTGTGTTATTATTGTAATGATAGTACCGAATAATAAATACAAAAATAAGAATATCGTGAGAGTAGGCACAATCATAAAGATAGTATAATCATTGATCCTAATAGAAATCTAATTAGTGTTTTTATTTAAATGTTATATAAACTTTCGATTATTCTTGAATTCAATAATGTTCTGATGGTTCTGTCGATTCGTTAAACTATGATAATCATTTCCGTTCATGATATATAAATTAAAATAATAGTACGTTATGATTGACAAGAAATTCAAATAAATATTTTTAAGATCTTGTTATTTACAATCGAATTGGCTTTCATTCTAACTTATATTTCAATTAGATTTTTAATCAACATCAATGATCAATCATTCAATTCCTCTACAAAATGAACGTATAAAACGTCGTCATTTCGTTCTACTTGCACTAATATTTCTTATTTCAATATCGAGTTTACTAATGATCTATATTTTATTTCCAAATATTGATCCGTATGTAGATAATTATAAAATTCCGAAAAAAACAAAATTAAAAAAGAATCTAAATAAACTTGTTTTTTTCTAGTGAAGAAAAAAGTGCTTTTAAAATTCCGAAAACAATTGATGATGCAAAAATTCTTGGCAATGTCTTATATAAATATAGTAAACATCATCGATATATAATAATGATTGCTTTCTTTTTGACTTATATTTTGTAAGTTGAACAAATTATTTCTTTATTTAAATTACGAAAGAAAAAAAAAATTGTTTTTGTTTGTTGCTTTTTTTCTATTTTCAGTTTACAAACATTTGCTATCCCAGGTTCAATATTTTTAAGCATTTTAGCTGGATTTCTTTATCCATTTCCTGTAGCACTATTTCTTGTTTGTTTATGTTCAGCATTGGGTGCTAGTTTTTGTTATTTACTTTCAAAATTATTTGGCCGACGTATTTTATTAAAATATTTTCGAATGAGAATTATTGATTGGCAAAGAAAAGTAAAAATATATTTATTAATTTAAATAATATACAAAGAAATGTTTGTGTATGTATGTGTTTTTTTTTTGTATATAGGTTCAAAAACATTCAGATAGTCTTTTATGGTTTATGATTTTTCTTCGTATAACACCGATTTTACCAAATTGGTTTATAAATCTTAGTTCACCTATTATTGATGTACCATTAAAACCATTTTTTCTTGGTACATTTGTTGGTGTTGCATTACCATCAATATTATTTATTCAAGCAGGTAAAACAATTCATCAATTATCATCACCATCGGATGTTTTTTCTTGGAGTTCAATATTAATGTTATCTTGTTGCGCAATATTATCACTTCTTCCAATTTATTTTAAAAATCAAATTGAAAAATTTTTTAAAAGACAAAATTAAAACATAATGTTGTTTATTTTGTTTTCTTTTTGTTTTCTTTTTATGTTTAAAAATAAAAATCAAGAAATTTTACGACAAAAACAAATATATATCGGTACATATGTCACTGTTATAAGATTGAATTCAATAAAGATATTTCTATGTAATACTTGCTGAAAGAGATACTAAGTATCTGTTAGCTACGAAGTTAATTATTATGATAATTATTGACGTCAGTTTTTATACATTTTATAGTTAGCTTTCTTTTGTTTTTCGAAAATATATTACAAATGAAATATGAAGTAATAAATAATTCTTGTAGAATTTGTCGAACTCTATCGAATCATGTAAAAATATCTAGAAATTAAAATTTCGCTCCACTTTAATCACATAGATATAACAAGAATGTTTATTTTTGCTGTAAAATATAAAATGTTTATTCATACTGAATAAAGGAACGATAAGTTTTCGTGATCTCGATGAAATTCGAACTATTTTATTTTCAAATGATAGCTTCAATCTCGCTCTACAAAACTATATAATTCAGTTAGCTATCTTCATATGTATTTTGTATACAGAAAGTCAATTTACAGAGACGGATCGAAACTTTTAGATCACTCGTTAGTACAATGCTCATCATTTGATGATTTCAGTTGAAATGTAAAATTACAAATTATGTATATCTTAATAAATAAAGACTAATTTATTAAAAAAGCAAACAACCTGGAACATTCAGGTCATAGCTATTTGTATTCAAGAACAATTGTATATAGATTAAAATTTAAGTTTTACCAAAGTACTTTTAAACACATCTATATATCATGTCAAAGCGTATGTAGAGTAGAGTACTTATTAATTAAAGTGCCTGAAATAAGAAAATAAATTGCAAAAGAAAAGAAATGTTTTTCTTTCAGTCCCGGATATTTATCCAATGGTGGTAATAAAAAAAAAGGTCAAAAAAAAATCGTTTGTGTTATTTCAACGGAAGCTTGAGAAAATGATGCTACGTATAATTAATTGAGAATATGCTGTAGCTTTTTTTCTTAACGATTGACGTCATTAGTTTTTAAGAATATTTCTTAGAATGTTGAGCATTTTCTTTTTAAAAATTTCAAGTTTTTTTTTTATGATTAATATCATAAGTTCGAAAAGTATTAGACACTCTGTTTTCTGTCAAAAGCAATTTTCAACTATCAAACAATAAATAACAAAGAAGGAGAGAAATCTCTCTGATGGTACTTATTAGATCACAAAAGAAAAGAAAGAATAAAGTTCTTTTTGGTCATTGAAAATTATATTTGCTTGTTGATCATTAAGAATATTCTCGATATTTTTTCTTTTATGCTCTCATAAACACTTTTCAAAATTGGTTATATTCAATTTATATATATATATATAGATATAAAATTTTTTTTTATTTAATTACTTGAAAATGCGCATATAAGAAAAATGTGAAAAGTGTTCAAAAAGTAATTTTTTTCTTAAAGAAAATATAACGTCAACTAAAATAATTATAACACGTACTTTTGAAAACGAGTATTAAAAAACGGAACAAAGAAAAAAAAAAGAAGTTGTGACCGTCTTTTTTAGGAAATAACTAACACATCATTTTACATTTTTAATTGAAAGAAAAAAGTTGCTTTCAACTTGAATTGAAATATTCAAAGAATAAAAACAAATTATTCTCAACCCAATGAATCGAACTTGGTTATTCCATGTTCTGATTTCGGTATGATTTATTTGATAGATTATTACTAATCATAATTATTCGTTTTTTTTTCTTAAGTTATGTTTTATCAATTATATAACAGCAGTTTCAGTTGAAACACAAAGTAAACTTATATATAAAAAGGAAACAAATAAGACTCAATCAATGAATAATGGATATATATTTTTTTTCTTTAGATCTATTAGGTTGTGGATCAATTACTCGTCCATCTCGAATCTATCCATATAGTCCAGCTAATTATGATTTCAATTTGAATACACCTGCAACATGTATGCAAGCATGTTCAGCAGCTGGTTATGCATATGCAAGTGTATCTGCTGGTCGTTTATGTTTTTGTGGTTCATTATCAACTAATATTTCATTGTTAAGTTCAACAACAACATTATGTCAAATTGAGATATGTACAGGTAATTCGAATGTTTATTGTGGTGATAATTATTATGAACTTGTTTATACTTCAATGGGTGTTATTGATGTAAGTTTTTGTTTTTATTTTTATTTTTGTATTTGATCTATTAAAAAAATAAAATCTTAGTCGGCAAGTATTGTTTTAATTGGTGGCACATCACCTATGGCTTTACAAATTAATCAAAATTATCAATTTGCTGTTAGTTATCAAGGTGCAGTTAGTTATATTAATTATCTTATTGATTTTGGTGATGGTACACAAACGGATTGGTTTAATGGAATATTGAATACACCAACAATAGTTTCACATATTTTTTCAAAAACTGGCAAATTTTCAATATCAATGGCAGCTCGATCATTAGTTGGAATGCAGGTAAAATTAGATTTGCGGAATGAGTTTCTATTTTTCTTGTTAAATTAGTACAATATTATTTTTTGATTTTATCGAATTCTTATACATGTTAAATTATGTGTAAATTGAATTGAATTTGCACTTTTGCAAAATGTTCATAGAAAAAATATAATGATAGAAAAATGAAATTAGCAGGAAGTAAAATACATTCTTTTTTTTTCTCACTGTGTTAAATTACTCAAAAAGAACTGGTATACTAGAGTCATTCGATTCGACTAAAAATTTCAAAATAATTTGAAAAATCATTTAGTTGATATACGAATTACGTTTTTGGCTTATGATGTCATATTTCCTAATAAAATAATCATAATTTGGAATAAAAAACTCTCTATCATTTTGAAGTTTTCTAGTTGAATGTGAAACATGAGTTGACATGCAAATACCTTCTTCTGTTCGATTTGATTTCGATTCTTTATCGAGGTTATTACTTGTTTTTTTTTAATGTTTCTTTACCCTGAACATTTGTCAAAAACATTAGTTCTTTCAGCTCATACTTGACAAGATGGCATTAGCTTAATAGTTCTTTCATTCAAATGTAATTAGCAAATTGATGTCTAACGTTATGATGGAAACGTCTAAGAATTTTAGGATAGACTCCATTGCACAGATTATATCAATGATGAAGTTTACAGCAAAAATTACTACATAAAAACTAATTTTTCCAAAGATCTGTTCATATCACAGAACAAGACTTTTTATTTTGCTATCATCTGAAGATTTGCCAAAAAGGATTTCGTACTAGTTAGAATTAGTATTTCGACTTTGCATTCAATTGCAAAAAGATGCTTTGTTTCTATATTCGTATACACGAGGAAATGTTTTCAACTGATCAATCGCTTACAGATTATTGACCATGCTGATTCTAAATATGATCATAAAAAATCTTCTTAGGTCTTCATATGTTGGTTTTTAGACTAAAAAGTTTTTCGCCAAGAATTGTTTTTTGATCTACTCAGCTTATAGAGCATATCGAATTGTATAGAAAACAGTAACTTTTTCTGCAGATAATATAGACATTTTAGTTTTCATACAATAGATACAGATCAACATTTCAATATGAAAATTCTCAAGACAATATTATTTTATTTGAAACTCATTTTTGGAAAAATAGAAAAGATTATTGAGTTATAGAGAACTCTATATGCTCTCTATCTTGAATAGATCAAAAATGATTTTAGCAGCATTTTTATTTGTCTGAAAACCAGCATATGAAGATCTGAAGAAATTTCTCCTGGTCATATTCTGAATTAGTATGATCGATAGTCCACAATCTAGTAACTTTTGTTAAAAAACATATTGACCAGTTGAAAACGTTCCGTCGTCAGCCATGTCATTGATGACTTTAGGATGTCATTAACAGCAAATCAAGTCAATTTTTTGAAAAACCTAAGTATGTTCAGACAAAATTTTGTATGAAAGATTTGTAGTTTGAAGTGTCCTCTACAAAACGCTCTATTTAATTTTTAAGAATACTTTTTGAATTCGAAGTATTTGTAAATGAAAGGGTAGGCAGTAAAAATCTGTATTCGTTTCTCTTGTGTATTATGTCACTAAGGCTAGTTTTTCAATCATAACTCGGTGAAACAAAGGTCTTTCACAGTTCAAAGATATACACATTTTTATTTTATGAAATTACATCACTTACGAATGAAATTGCTAATATTTATTCAAAAAATTTGATATCAACCTGTCTAATTTAATCATATTACTTTTTAAAGCCAGTAATGTCTGCAATGACAGTGAAAGTTTCTGATCAAATCTCATCATTGGATGTATCAATGACGTGTCCAAATGTAACAGTAACACAGAAAACTATTTCATGTATTTTTACATCCATACGTGGTACTGATTTAACGGCTAAATTAAATTACAATTCATCAACTCCATCTCATTCAATTATTAATGTTCCAAGTAAAATTTTTCTGAGATCACTAAAGAAACTTTTTTTTTTCGATTGTTTTTAGATGCTCAATATTATATATTTGGTTCATCATATGTTACACATAATCCAACAATAGATTCATCAGGAAATTTACTTACTATAAATGATATTGTTATTTTACCTCAAAGTACTATTACTATTGCTGGTCGAATAGCATCAATACAATTTTATAGTTCAGGAGCTGGTACAATCAATATTTATGTAATAAAATAAATAAATAATTTTCTACTTGAAAAGATTTATAAATATCTGTTTTTCTTTTTCTTTTTTTTTAGTTACTTCGTCCTAGTTGTACATCACCATTGACTTATTGTTATAATACAAATACATGTGGTAGTTGTACAAATCCATATTCATTACAATGTTCAACAAATATTTATTCAACAATAACTCATTTATGTGTTAATACAACATTAACTCAACGTTTTCAACAATCAACTTATTCCAATGTACAATTTGAAATTATTGCTCAATGGACAATAACAACAACTGGTATAAATTATCAACAAATTATTGCAAATTCATCATTG